TTGTATAATAACAACATGTTTTTTAGTCATCAGTTATTATTACTTGTTCGACTTTCTCTACTTCATCTATTATATCAATATAATCTGAATAACTTCTATTTGTATAAATCAATAGCAAGATCACTTATTGTAATTTAATCTTATTATTTAGAATATTCGGGCTCTTCGCACTGGCAACACACAAGCGGGGTTCAATCTAATTCAAACTAATTATCTTCAATGCTTATTGATTGAAGCAATGGACAGCCTGTTCCATTTCAAGATACATCCCCAAAGTCGTGTCTTGAAAAGATGTTCCATTTAATATTAATTATGATGTTTTTCTAAATATTTTTAATATTAACTATGACCGATGTTCCAATTATCAAACCAATAAATATAACTGATTACGAGTTCAAACAATCTAAATATGAGCATGTACCAATTCGAAAATCAGGTCGCTTAGTCCTAAATCAAAGAGGACACTTAAGCCATTCAAAGGGCACTTAGAAATCAAGCCGCAGAGACACGTGAATGCGAATGACACTCACACGGGGCTACCCCGCAGTGACACTCACGCAAGGGGGACAGGCACTAGCGCAAGGAGTAAGTGACCTCGATTCGCATCCCCACTGACACTCAAATGACACGTTTTGACACTCAAAACGCCATGTTCGGGCCATTCTGGGTCGGCCCCAATCAATTGTGGCAGTTGTCACACTTTGACACGGGTAGCTGTTCGATTCCAACCCCATCCAGCCAAAAAGGGCACTTAGCAAACCAATCAAAAGGGGCACTTAGGGCACCGGCACGGCCTTAAGTGACCTCGATTCCAAAACACGTCAAAGGCCCTTGGACAAGGGCACTAAAATATGCTGGTCTATTGGTAATTAAAATACACCGATTCAATCATGGATGCAAGCGACAAATTCGTTACACTGCTGCAGATTGTTCACCTGTCCCGCAATGTGTTCTAATCATTGCTGACACGTGTTTGTGGGCGCCTGTCATTATTTAGTCCAAACAGGTGAACCTTCTATATATCTCTCCCGACCTCTTTGGGAGTGAGATTGCGCATGGAACCCAGACCATGTTCCTTTCAAGCCACCCGAGCAGCTCTGAAACCGAAACCCCCTCGTTGCATCCCAAGCAAGAGTTGTGTCAGAACAAGGCCCCGCCTAAGCAAAACCCTGCACGGCGAAAGCCGGCGTAAGCACTGTTTGCGGAAACATGCTGCGTATATAAGCACCTGCGTCAGCTCTTCTTCGTGATTGCTTGGTAAGCTTTTTGTATGCATGCTCGGAAGAGTTGTCTCGCACATGTGCTTATGTGTTTGTTGGTAGCTTTTGCTGTGCACCATCAGAAAACAATTCCAGCGGAACTTTCATTGAGAGCTCTTGGGGCTCATGTTAGATGCTGTTGCAACCTTTACTAGGGACAAGCAAAGGCTTCTGCAACCGCTGATTTGGGAAAACTGAGGGGGCTCGGGCGCGTAAGCTCGCGCAAGCAAGCGCGTAAGGTTCGCGTAAACGCGCCTAGCTCAGCTGTCCGCTAGCCCTCGCGATGGATGCCGCTGCCGCAAAACCCGTTTCTTGACTTGCAGTAAGAACAACAACGCCAAGCCGCTGAAACTCGTGAGGGTAGTTCATTTTTCCTCAGAGTCATCTGCATCATTTTGACCAGTTCTGGCGGCTGCACGAGAAAAGGAACCCACGAAAAAAGAAAAAAACATGTTGAGGGGAAGCGATGCGCTAGCTTAACATGCTCGCTGACTCCCGCGCAAACTAAAACGTAGCGCAAGCTCGCGCGTATGCAACTTGATACGACATAGGGATTCATGGGAGGTTTATCGAGTCGCTCACCTGTTTGCTGGGCTTCCATGTAAATTTTGTTGCGAAGATTGCCCCCATGTTTGTTTGCTCTTGCAAGTGCGCTCCTGTTTCCGTTGGTTCTGAAGGAGAAACCAAGAGACAAATACACTTGTGCTTGTGCTGGTTTCTTAGGCACCAATCCCCCTACAAACCGTTCAACCGAACCTGTCCCTTAAGAATAGGGCTAGGATGGCACATTCAAAGCGCCAGATACATCCTGACCTTGCCCAACTTGCGGAAAGAACTTCAGAACCAGTCCTGGCATACCTCCAAGCCCTGGCCTTGGGATCTTTGTTTCGACGCCCGATATTTTCGATTCGGTGTTCGAGGGATTCCACCGGTGAGAGGGGAGACGAGCTCACCATGGTGATGTTCTTGCTCATGCCTTGCTCCGGGTTTGGCCAGTAGAACATTTGCAGTTGTTGTTGCTGATGGTCGACAACCTTGTTTAGGGCCCTCGTCCCTTTGAAGTTCTCAAGTTTGAGGGGAACGAGCAGAACCCCGAAAGCGGCAAACACGGAATTTGTTTCCTCGAGGCGGTGGCTCGCCATTTTACCACCATTGGAATTGTCCATTGCCGGGAACACATACTCATCATGGCGAGAACAAAACGGCATGAATTGTGGATGTTACTCACAGATGACATTAGAAAATGTGCGATGCCGGCAATGGTCATTGTTCCCCAAGATTCGCGTGATTAATCGTATTTGTTTGAGCCAACTATACCATGACAAATGTGCGTGTGAGTGTGCGTGTTCAATATATAGTTCTTGTTTTGCAACACTTTCATCGGCCGCCAAACTTCTATCAGCAAGTCCTTTTTGCCAATCCACCTCGTAAGGGGATGTGCACGGCGCGAGAGTGGTTTCGTTTTCATGCACCTCCCAACTCGTGAAAAAGCACCAGGCTGAGCATCGAGGGGTCTCATTTGACAGGCAAGGGCCTAGCCCTTGGCTAGCGATGAGTTGCTCCAGTTGTAGCATGTTAGCATGTTATATATGTTGCCGAACTTGCTTGGTCGGTAAAGCAGTCAGGTTCCTTACTTCGGGATTCCTTAATTCGGTTTGACGAATTCCGCAATGTTTGCAGACTCATGTCATTTACAACCAGGCAATGTCCTCCCTTTTTGTTCATCATGTTCATTTGTGGGGCTGACCTTGTAGGGTTCCCTTGGATTAGAGGGACCCTGTGTTTCAAACGATCACAGACTTTTTTGAATTGTGACTAATTGTGACCAACCAACAAACAGGCTGGTTGGGTCAAACAAAAGGGTCCCCCCAAAAGCGTCAGGCACATGTTCACCGAGATGTTTATGACCATGTTCGGGATCGACTACTGGGAACCGGCCTCAGCTTGAGCCAAGCACTGGCGAGAAGGACCCTTGCGCGGCGGCCGATTTGCTTCTGCTTGAAACACGCAAGGTGCCTTGTTTGAAGGACAGTACAGCTTGTTGGATTCGCTGGTGGGGGAGTTCTTCCACCAGCAAGCGGTGTTAGGCCCCAAGTGTTCTGTTGTTTTTTCTTTTTTTTTCCCAGTTTCTTATTCTCAGTTGTGCAAAGCCGACCGTTTGACCTTTGGGTATCCTTTATATTAGAAGTCCCAAAAGGTTGACCTTTGATTTCTCGCTGTTTGCGTTGAACACCATCCAACAAGGGGTTCCACATTCTGAGACAGGTCCATATCATGCCTTCTTTGATACTCAAAATGTGCATTTTGATGAGCCTCAAAACGGCCTTAAAATGCCCTTCGTTTCGCGAGCCCGAAAACAGGGACTCAAGGGTCTGATCTTATCCGGTTCAAGGTGAAACCGAGTGGTTTTAGATGCATGGATCCGGGTCCCAAGCAATCGTGGAGGGCTAAGGTCGGACTCCAAAGCTTTTGCGTCTTGTGTCATGGACTGTTTTGATTTAAACATCACCTTGTGGTGGGGGGGGGGGGGGCGGGCCATTCAAAAAGTGTGTTTCGTTTGGACGCTAAAATGAGAACATCCAAACAGCCGGCTGCCCTGGGGCTGTTTCCGTTCAGGCGTGGCGCAATACCTCGTCCTTCGCGCCCGGCCATTTCTTGCGGTAGCGAGGAGAAATCGGCACAGAGGGGGAAGCGCATGAGCGGCATCCGCGGCATGGACATGAGTTTCAGTTTGGTTCCATGTGTATCTCTTCCGTCCTTAATTCAGGTGTGTAAATCACAGTAGTTCTGCCATAGTGCGAGTTGCAGCTTAGATTCTCAGCAAGTGTGAACCTCTTTGCATCCCTCATGGGTTGTCGTATCGCACTCTGGGACCGGAACCGAGCGATGTGATTTCCCCTGGAAGTCTTGCAAGCCCTGGTTCCACCGTTTGATTTAGAGGCACATGCCAGGGTATAGTTTGGCAATCTGTGAGGGGAACTGCGTCAGGGGTACACTTCAAGGTTACAGTATATGGCCGAGCTTCGACTTAAAATGTTTGAGTTTCAGTTTAATGCCTAGGCAATAGGGTACGCTAAGGAGATGTGAATTCTACTTGCTTATTTGAGTTATGGAATGTCCTTTGACATGGCAGAGACAGAAGCAGAACCGCACAACAGTCTAAATTTATTGATCGATTAGCAACAAGGGCGCCCATTGCTGTTTTCCTGTATTTTTATTATAATATACACACACATCTTTTTAACGTGTGTTGTGGCTTTTCCTACTCTGCCTCCCACAAACACCTGTGGCAGCTTCCTGAAAAAAAACAATTTCCTCAGGGGCCTGTCGGGTTCCAAGGTGGGCATTGAGCTTTGTTCTCATAAGCCTTCCAGGCAGCAGTTGCGAAGGTCCAGAAGTGCGAGTGAGACTTCGAAGTGCCTCGCCATGGCTCAACAGCTCGACATTGCGATTCGCCATGGGATCAGGGAACTGATGGGAGTTTTTAGGGGCTGAGAAGCAACCAGATGAGCATGACCCGCTGGCGACCATGAAGCTCCCTGCGTGCCAAATTGCTTTGGAGCTTCAGGAATTAAAGGGGCGTTGACACATATCCAATGCTTGGGCTGCTGGGCACCAACTGAAAGAGCACTTGCTCGTTGAAGGCCCCGTTCAAACTGCAACCCAGGATTTAAAGGGCAGCAAAGCCCCTTTGAAGGCCCCTTCAAAGTGCCCTTTGATTTTATGGGCGTACCAAACACACAAAGAACCTTCCTTGGACTGTAAGCCATGGTCTTGACGGAGGAAAAGTCCTTGGCCGAAGCCTTTGCAGCTCGGGTGATCGATCGCATGTGAAGTCCGGATGTGCTACTATAAATTGGCCCATGCAGGTGCCAAACGTGACCACGTAGGGCCTTGGTGATAGCAGGTTTGAAACGGATAGCACCTCGAGCCGTCCATGAGAAGGACAGTTGACCCGAGACGCACCGGAATAAGTCGCTTGACTGTTGAGACCCCTGATTTCTCCCCGTCAATCCTTCCGAAAGCACAGTGGAGGTGTTTCTTTGAGGGTACCTTTTCGGGGTGGTTTAACAGGGCTCCTTAAAGGATACATTTTGCAACCATTTGAAACATGTTGCTTTTTCAACACCAACATAAAGGGAAACCACCATTTACAAGTTGCATTGGTCAAGTGTATAATGTAAGGATCCCTGTTTTGGGTTGTTTCACAATGTGAGGGATCCCCGACCCCTTCTCCCTCTAGCCGCCACATGCCCAAAGTTCGGGTTTTGAGCAGGCGACTTCTTGCACCAAGTTGGTACTATTTGAGTCGCTCCCCAGTTTCTGGATTTGATTTGTTTTGGAATGATCATGTTGGTGGCAAACACAAAGCTGAGACTTGTTTTTGCCCACTCAGGAAGTGCCAGAATGTAAGCAAGGATGGATAGGAAACAACAAAGGATATCAGAGAAAAGGGCCATTCTCCACACACACACACGGCCATCCCCATTGATCCCTGTGACAGAACCAAGCGAGGCTCGGGATAGAAATCCGGTTGTCAAACCTTCAGGCAGCGTTGCCCCCGAGGGCCACGGTATTGATCGACCAGGGGTGCTATACATGGACTGGGTGAGCGTTGTATAGTCTAAGAGTTGACTCCCCGTTCTTGTCACCCATGCTCTTTAGAAACCACCAGTTTTTCCAGTTTGCCAAATTTGTTGAGCAGGATCCCAGAGAATGGAGAAGGCACTAGGATTATGGGGGGGATATAGGCCGTGGGGTTTCCCCAGAGGGTGCAGAGGTCAGTGTCGTATTGGGATATGTCTTTTCTTTTTCGGGGAACCTCCCCCCCAAAAAAAAGAGAGGAAAAAGAGCTAAACTAAATCTACGTGATGTTGCTCTTGGTTTCCATCTAAACCGACAGGGGAAGCCTCAAGAAAGTCGCAGGGCCTTTGGAGCGGAGATCGGGTCGGCCGAGGACGCGATTGGCTTCGGATTCTTCCAGGTCCGACTGCTCATCATTGCAGGCCTCGGCTTCATGGCCGACTCCATCGAAGTGGGCCACTCGCCAAACCCGCCGCCCACGTGTTTTCTTGTTTGTTTTTCCCCTTCCAAGTCGACCGAAATTGCAGCCTCAAAGTAGTCTAAAGTGCGGCGGCCGGTCCTGGCGGTTTGGAATCCAGAATGTGTGTTCTGTTCTGTTGGAGTTGTCTCAAATCACCAGAAGCTGTTCCATTGCCGCGGACACGGCCCAACGCGCCAAAGCGCTCGCAGGGGCATCAAGAACCTGAGGCGTGGTGACCTTCTTGGAGCAGAAGGCTCTGCAGGAGTGGCCCGAAGTCCAAGGCGCGGGAAGTCCATGAGGTAAAACTGGGTGGCCGAGTGGCTGGCTGGCTGGGTGGCTGGGTGTGTGGGTGATTCTGGGTGGGGTATACCGAAGGGCTTCCTTCCACACAGGAACTGGGTTTGCGCTGGGAGATCCAAAGTGAAACCAAGTGCCTGTCAGGCCCACTTCCCATCTTCAAAATGGCCGTTTGTTTGAAAAAGCAACACACTTTCACATCTTTTCCAGGGGGCGTATTCGCAAATGGAAGTTGCCCTAGGTTGCCCTTTTGGTGGGTAGCTCTTGCGCAAACAAGGCAAACTCGGCGATTTGGAGTAAGACGCGTTATCTTCCCGACCAAGGACCCTTACAAGGTGCACCAGCAAAATGCAGCATGCTGCTCGCACACCAAACTTTCTTTCAACAACCATTCGGGCTTTTTCAAATGAGGTCTTTTCAGATCCTTCAAGGCTGCACAAACAGCAGGTTGAGAGTATGACCAGAACTAAGGAATTTTCTGGAGTTGGGTTCATCATCAGAGCACTGATCCATTGATGTGGGCATGCTGAGGCCTCTTTCTTGTGGGAGCAAACTGGGAACACTTGTGAAGAAAGGTTGGGAACACGTTGGGAACGTGTTGGGTCACAGTTGGGGAAAAAGCCAGACAAAGGTTGGGACAAAGTTGGGAAAGGGTCTAGAAAAGGTTGGGAAAAGGTTGGGAAAAGGTTGGGAAAAGGTTGGGAAAGACGGTCAGGAAAGATGGTCGGGGAACAAGTTGGGAAAAGATTGGGAAAAGGTTGGGAAAGGGTTGGGAAAAGGCTGGGGAAAAGTTGGAAAAAGTTGGAAAAAGGTTGGGAGAAGTTTTGGAAAAGTTGGGAGCATGTTGGGAAAAGGTTGGGAGAAAGGTTGGGAACAAGGTGGGAAAAGATTGGGACAAGTTGGGGAGCCGTTGAGAACAGGGAAAAGCTTGGGACAAGTTGTGAAACGCTAGAAAAGAGTTGGGAAACGGTTGCGAATAAGTTGGGATGAGGATCATAATGCAGCAAAGACTTTTCTGATATGAGTGGAAAAGCAGGTGCTATGAGGGCTTTGCAGGGCTGGCGCTGTGGGGATTTTCCAGGGTTGTTAAGGGATTGCATAGCTTCTTGTGGCGTTCTCTGGTTTGTTGTGCTTAAAACCTTTCTTGAAGCAGTATGGCTGGTACGCCTTTGACACTTAATGTCATCAAAGCCCGATGTTTTCTGCGAGCAGTAGCGAGCTTCCCGAGCCTCTCAAATCTCTCAAAAGGCACACAGTAGAAATGGGAAACATCATTTCCCTCAAACAGGGGTTCCTCAATTTCTGTTTTAGACTTTTAAAAGTGGCAGTTTCCGTGAGACCCACCAGTAAATTGCAGATTTCAAATGTGAAATCCAGCGACTCCTGTCAAACTGATCTTTGGCGTGGCACTGCGCTGTCCGCGCAAAAGACTCATGGCCTGCTGTACTGTTTGGTGCTGTGTGTTTGTCCAACTGTAGAAAACCACCAAAGTACGCCATCCATTTGCAGGTTGGTCGAAGAACGCCTTGTCCATGAGCGTTTTTGGCACCAAGCTGTGCCTGGGCATTTGCTTTGTGAGATGGGTAGCACCCTCACAATGCCTCTGTAAACAATGCCGTTGCCCGTCAATCAGCTTCCCATTGAAATTTTTGCACCCCAATATTGCAGGAGTTGCCCCGCTTAACTTCCCACAGCACAGCTATGGGATTACTTCGTTGGCCGGGTTTCTGGTTTCTGGTATCAAGGAGAAGCCTTAATGTGGCTAGCAATAAAGGGTTCTGAAACTGGCAGCCCCCCGCTAGGGTTGGATCTACAGCACCCAAGTTTTTTGATGGCTCCAAAGAAAAACAAAAGGACACCACATTTTTAGGAATCTATTTTCAGAACCCCAGTGGATCCTGGCGAAACTGACGGGGCTCCCGTTGGATCAGAGAGCTGTGGACTCGGGGAAAGCGGGGCCAACCATTGAACTTGGTGGCGGTGTTTTAGCCTTTTGACTAGTGTTTCATCTTTTTTCCGGGCACCAACCATTAGCAATTGGTGCCTTGGTTTTTTAGCAACTGTTGATTTACTTACATCTTTGTCGGGCAGGCTTCTGTCGTACCGGGCTTTGGTTCTGACTAGTTCCTAACGAAATCTTGCACCAGGAATGAAGCTCTGGGCTAAATCACCTGAGCCACAATCAAATCCCGGGTAGACGAAGGTTAGTAAGGGACGATCCCAACCATAAATAGCTGCGTCCGCCTTGTTAGTTCTTCACATGGTTTTGGGTGAACCATTTTAGTACCAGGTTGTATGATTACCAGGGTGAATTTTGGGTACCTATTTTTGACCCACAGCCAAATCACCTGGCGGGCATGGAAGGCGTTGATTCGACATGAGGCTCGGCAGCTGCTTCTGGGGCAGTCTCTCAGACCACTTGGGTCGGAGGCGGGTTGGCAGTTTGGGCTTGGCCGGGCGTAGAGATGTGCCACCGGAGCAAAAGTAGGTGGCGGAAATCACAGGTGAGCAAAGTAAGGGAGGTGTGGTGCCATCTACTTTCACCTGTAATTATCACCTGTCCACACCAGATTGCTTGGCGGATTAGGGAGGGGGGGGGTTCCTGCAAAATGTGAAAGGTTTCACTCGAAGAGTAGGGGAACCCCTGTGAATCAAACAGGGTTGATTCCTGGGATCCCTTAAATCGTCTTTCTGGGCGAACTGTGCTCTTCAGCGATTGATATTTGGTCGAAATCTACCCCAAAAAATGCATTTTCACCCAAAAGGAGATTCGCTTTTGAGGATGGATGGCTCTTTGAACCCTCCCAAGTCTTGTGTACTGACAACTCAGTGAAGACCTGCCCACCCAATTTGCTCTTTTAGAGCAGGAAGTGAAATCAGATCTCTCATGCTGTAATGATGGAATGAACCGGAAGGGGATTCCCTTAAAGGAAACCACCTCGGGGATGGTTCATCTCGGGGGCATTCCATTTCTCATTCCCTGCATCTCTCGCACCCAGCAAGTTCCGGTCTGCCTCAAATGGCACAGGGCTCCCTATATTTCCCCTTTTGACCACCCCTAAGGGAAGCTTACTTGAAAGTGGCCTGTGGTCGGTCTGTTGAGACGCCCCCGACATACTGCGGATGGACGAAATCCTGCACCACTTTGAAACCATTCGAAGCCATTGTTCGTTGGTATTTACAGGGAAATCATTCATTCCAGGGTTTCTTAGGTGGTGCGAAATGGTTTTCGACGGAGAACGCCAGGCGGGCCTTCCTCTTAGCGAATGTTTTCCTGCTGACGACGGGTTGCCTCTCAGCACTTGCTCCATCGTGGCTTGCCAAGCCTGTGAAAGGGTTGGGTAAGTTACATAACATGTATATATTAATATATATATACACAGTAATACACAAGGATACGATATTGGAATTGTTTCAGGAAGTGGACTTGTTTAAAGCATGGTTAGACAACTAATTAAAACGTTTGTGCTTTGCTGATTCAGAACCATAGCAAGGGGATCTAGTGACTAGGGGACATGTGCTTCATGTTTGTTCATGTCAAGAACCATTGCGCTGCGGTATGGTGCGCTGCAAATTTGATGTTACCGCGCCTTCATGGATGCTTTCCCAGGCAGCTAAGGTATGTGTGGCTCGTTGTGGCACGCGGACTGGTTGGCCTAGCGATCGGTGGAATCGTGATTCCATTCGATAACCTGGCAGACGCTTGTCCGAATTGTGTTGCAAGCAGCGTCCACGGCAGTACTGGCCCAATATGAATACAACCAAGGTTTGCATCATGCGTAAGCTGTGCTGCGCGCGACATGTCACTAGATCCTTGTTGTATAGTTCGAAGTGTCTGGGAATATTCCTAGTATGTGCCCCATGTTGCCCTAGACAAGCTGCCTGTGCGGGTGCCTGTACCCCTTTGCCAGGCATAGCCGTTGCATGTCCAACATGTTATGGCTTGTGTCATGGTCCAAAGACCCGTTTTCTTGGTTTGGTAGCTTTGGTCAAGACCCCCTTGATATAATTTGGAAAGTTGTTATTATTATTATTATTGTAATTGTAGTTGCAATTACTATTACTTCTTATTATTATTGTCATTATTATTTCGGGAACCGGTATCTCGGGTTCTGAACATTGGGTTTCCAGACCAGGCCTTCTTCGGAAAAAAAAAAGAAGGGGCTCGCGTGGCCTCCGCCGGGCCTCAGGAGAGCGTGCCGGAGAAGTACTCTGGGAGTGTCTGCTATGCCATCGAGTACTTTTGGACGTGCCCCGGGCGGGTTTTTTTTTGCGGCAACGGTTTACGGTGCACACGGAAGCATGGTTCAAAAAGCAAAAGGCAAAAGAAGAAGCACTCAGTGTTGACTCCCTAATTTGAGGCGCCAACCCATATGTGTTGGTATGGTGATAGGTGTTGAGCCCTTGTGGGGCGAGACATGGGCCATGACAAGCACGTGAGGCGAGAAACAACAACAAAGCACTGCGGGGTCCAGGCTGGAAAAAAGGGCAGGCTAGTGAGTTGATTTGTTTTGGAGCTTAGTTGGTGTCCGCTTCGCCAAAAGCAAGTGAAACAAGTTCCCAAACCAACAATACAAATCATCTATGTGGGGTACCCTGACTCCAACAACCATGGCAGGAATCGGATGGTAACGGAAGATCCTCTTCCGTGATTGGAAAGAAGGTACCCCACTGAAAATGAAAAAAGGAACCCCAAAAGCATCCGAAGGAAGGTTCCCTCATCCATGGCTAGGAAAGGGATGCGACTGAATCTCCTGGAAAAGGGGAATATCCAATAAGACACGAGGCGTTTTGTGGTTTTCAACAAATCGACTCCCTTCGGCGACGGCTTTCGCAGGTTGGGGTCCCTCTACAGCAACGGCCTGGCGGCTTTGGTGTTGGAGCCCTTGGGTTGGAGGACCGACAGTCGCGACAGTCGCGACACTGGGCCTAGTTAATCCTCAGTCATTACAAATATGTTTTCGCACATGTTCAGCTTTTGGATGCAATGATCCTTGGAACCTTCTTGCAGCTCCCAGGAATCAAAAGGCAATCACTTTGAGGTCCTGAAAGGAGGTCGGAGTACTTTGATTCGTTGGATGCTTCCTTTTGACCGAATTCAAAATGAGTTTCTTCTTGGGAAGGGGACATGTAGGGCACTCTGTTTGCTGGTTTTTCTGAACTTTGTTTAGGGTGCGTTTTTCTGGCGATGACTGAAGAGTGGGAACCAACTCCCCCCCCATGCCGCATCCGTCTCAGAACACTGTGGCACCAGGATATACCTCCTTCTCACCGCGCTGCCCATCCTGTTGGCCTGCTTAGGTTACTTCTTTCTGGAGGCATCCGATTGGGCGGGAAGGGAGCTACAAAGCAACCCAGGTCAAACACGATAGGTGCACTGTTTGGAGTTGGATTGACGGCGAGGGTTCCCTATTTCGACACATACTCAAGTCGAATCTTCGGTGAGAGTGACTGAAACATGTTGAACATCGATGCATGCCACTGGTTTCAGGTTGGTTCTCATCCGCAAGTGCCATGGTGCCGTCGATCCTTTCAGAAGGACTCCCAGAAACAGCTGTGTCGCCTCTCCCTTGGGCCCTGTTCGAAATTTTGCCGGCCATGGCGCTTGAGTTGATCGCTAGGCACCTTGTGTGAGTCAAGCTTCACGTGGTGACCCCCAAAATGGCCGCTTCCTCTAGTTTCACGTTAAAACCCACCCAAAAAAGCGGTCCCGTATCTTGAGACACACCCAAGTCTTGCAGAGCAACCAGTAACATTTACATGAACAATCCAAGAAACCAGCTCCAATGTCTACAAGAAGTGTGCCGATTTTGTTTTCACCAAGCACCAGGGTTTGCCAGGGGTTGGTTGCTAGCTTCCTGTGGAATCTCCTGGAGTTGGTTTCTTGGAAACTAAGAACTGGGAGTTGCGAGCCAGCGATCCCGAACGAACTCCGCTTTGAGTCTGAACAGCTGGTTGTCTTTCAGGGACGGGCAAATCAAGAAAAATGAAGAAACATGAGCAACTGTTTGGGCTGCATGGTTTGCCTTTTCCACTGTGGGATAAATGAGCAGCCCTTAGTTCAGACCTTTTTCAAGGGAGGCTGTTCATCTCAGAGGAAAAGGCAAACCCTGTTGGACCTGGCCTCAAACAACCCCCATTTTCTGACTTTGAATAACCCCCAGAAAACGTCAACATCATGACCCCAGTGGACTGTGCGTTCGGAACGGCTCCCAATCCAAAACGGCTCTGAGAGTACGAGCACCTGTGAGTCACCAAAAAAAAAAACAAAGCCGCCGTCGCGAATGCGATAGGTCACGCCGTGCGGGCAAACAGCGTCACGGAGTGTGTCTTTCTTGGAGGCTACGACGGTGTTTTTGTTAGGGAAGCCAAAGGAAAAGGATTTGCCAAAGGCGTCCCAAAAGAATCGACACCCAAACGAGTTCCGGTGATTCGTTGCTATCCGTCACGAGCGTTTGTGCAGCCATGTTTTTTTTAAAGCGGAGCCAACGCTGCACAAGGCCTTTTCGGGAGTTTTAGCCTGGCCACAAGTAGTCATGGTTTCAAGAATGGACCACTTTGCTATCACAGAACAGGCATCCATCTTGTCCAGAACCACGAGGTTTGGCGTCGAAATAGGGACACCACCACATGTTTTGTTGTTTGGTTTCCCTTTAACTACTCTAAAAGGGGGGGTCTTGAAAAGCCAACAAATCGGAGGGCTATTCCGATCGCAGGAGAGCCCCATGTGGCTCCTGGACCGTGGCTTCGACGAGGAAGCCCTGGAGGTGCTGCGTCGCATCGGCGCGGTGAACGGCAAGGACTCCGAGACCCCGAATCCTTCCTTTCTGAGAATAAACCGGCGCCCCTCCCCTGACCCCCCCTCCACCTCCCCTCCACCTCCCCTCCACCTCCCCCCCCCCACCTCCCCCACCTTCCCCCCGCCACCCCTCCAATACAAGAACCCCCTCCCCCTCACCCCTAATACAAAAGCCTTTGGGGGCGGGTTATATGAGTGGAGCGTGAATGATTAGGAAGAACTGAGTCCGCGAAATCCGAGTGGCGCGGCTGGCAACTCGGAGACGAGACACCCAGAAAACGCGGGGTGTCCTTTCTTGCATGGTAGCCCGTTTCGAGTGGTTTTCTCTTGGAAGCCAAAAGGACACCAACCCAATTTGTGGGTTCCCTGTTTTAAAACACGAAAAGTGTTTGATCAGATTCTGCCGAGATTGAATCTGTGGCAAGTGGTGTTCCTGTGATGTCCTCCGCCCAACGGCGTCCGGTGGGTTCTGATGCGGTTGCGGTGCCCCTGTGTCCCGTGGTGTTTGAGTGTTCCAGTGTCGCCGGTGCTTGCCGTTTGTCTCGTTCTGAAGAGGTGGCCTGGAACAGGCTCAGGTGCCAAATGTTTCATTTGCAGAATTTCCCGCAAAGGAAGCCACGGGCACCAGCCATGCGAATCGAGTCCGTTTTCCGTACCCTCACCTAAAACGAGACACGTCTCGCAGGACTTGTCGCAGATGACTCTGGTCTCCTACGCCCGCGAAGTGGATCCTTCGTGCAAAGAAGTGCTGGCGCCTCCGGCTCAAGAGAATCGGACCCGGTGAATCACCGTGCCCGAAGCTCGATTAATGTCAAGTTTGGATGAATCCGGAGGGTGATACCAGTAGTCAAAAGAGCCCTGCACGGGTGATTTCCATTTGGGGAAGTGATTTATGTCGCGAGGCCCTTGGCCAGCGGGATGTTTCACGACTTTAAGTTAAGGGGGTCCTATGGGGGAAGAGAGTAAGAGGGGGAGGGATACTGGAAACCAATTCTTGGGAAACTGTTCTGGGAACAGAGGGGCCAACTAGTTCTTGTGCTTTTTATAGTTTTGAGACCCCGTTTGTTGTGAACAACCCTTTGGGGGCTTCAGCAACCTTGCTTCACAAGGAGCAATGTAGCATATATCGTAGCTTTCATTGCTCTATGAATAAACACCTCTATATCGTAGCTTTCATTGCTCTATGAATAAACACCTCGGCTCATCACGATCCCTGCGCCTTCTTTCTGGGTTGGATTCAACATGCCCCAATGGTCAACACTTTGGGCTTGGTTGCGTCAATCGAAAGGGGCCCAACCCAGCAGATCAGCTCACTGTCTCTCACCTTGAATAAGCATCAGGTGGGTCGCTAGTGCGTGCTCCTTGTAGCTTTGTAGTTGGTGTAGTGGTTGGGGTTCGCGTCTTGCACCCGCGAAAACTGCGTCAACCAGCCCATATTCGACTGAAAGTACTGTATCATATCACATTAAGCTATACTACAATACAACATACTATGTTAAAACACTCAGTTTGACGAAGAACGAGTCCCCGTGCTCATGGATTTGATTTTGACCCCCCGAAACCGGGGGAAAAACAAAAAAAAAAGCATCGAGGCTCCAGAGCTTCGAAGGCCACTCTGGTCATTGGGCTTCTCGGCGTTAGGCTTTGCGCAGACTGGTCTCGTGGCCTCCATTTGCTTAAGAATATGTTTGTTTTGTTTTTCCCTTTGTGGTTTTACAAGGAATTCATCACTACTGGAAACATTTTATATTTTTTTCTCTGGGGCCTTAACCAAATGGAAGGTGGAAACTAGATCGATGGCCACTATGGGACTCAGGGGAAATCTTTGGGCATCGACTTTTGGCCATCGATTTTTCGGGTGGGTGGGTTGAATTTGTGTATTTCATTCCCGGAAATAAGAGATCAGGATTGGATAGAATTCTAGGTCCTCCAGTAGTGCCCTTTTACCCTTTTTTGGGGGAGGGTTCCCCTACTAAAATAGACTACATAAAAAAAGGATACCCTTATTGTAGCCTCTCTATTGGAGGACCTAGAATTGCTGGGTTGCGAACTTCTGTGAGGGCATCCCATTCGAAGCGAAGGAATCAGGTAGCACAAAAAGGGCCATTTTCCAGAACCATGTCCACACTTCATTTTTTGCGCCACACGGATGTGGTCACCGGAAGTTCTCAAAGGTTCACGTAGGATGCGTTGGCATTTGGGGTTCGCAATGTTTGCCCAGGCTCGCTTCGCTTTTTGCTTACCTCTCTCGAGGCCACATCCGTTTTGCCCTGGGAGCTGTCACCTCCTTTGCTTGAAATCCAACCACCAAGAACCAGGACCCAATGGCTACTGGTTTGAGTGACCCCCTGTTTGGGCTAGGGACGTTTGACAGACATCCAATGGGTTCATGGCAAGTGCATTGTTTTCACGGCAACCACAAAACAAAGTTGACAAGGTCTTAAGATCAAATGATTAAATAGGTATGTATCAAAAGAAAGGGATTTCGCAAAATGAATAGTGTATATGTTTCCTTTTTTGTTGGCTTTCCTCAAACACGCGCAGTATCATTGGCCAAAATCAAATGGGTCAGGATTTCGATTGGGACCCTTTTGGTGCGCATGAACACCGGTGCAAGGGTGGCAATGTATGTCCAGCCATTTGGAGGATCTTTGCCAGTGGTGATTTCGGACGCTGAAGTTGACGTGGAAGTCCAGTCATTCGCTCGCGATCGAGGCATCATTTGGTGCCTGGGGCTCTTCGGATACTACGGGGCGGCCTCTTGACTTGGGTTGGATCTTTAGACTTTCACTTTTCGGTTGAAAACGAGTTGGGTTTTCCACTAAACCCCCAAAAAGAAAACAACCACCTTTTGCCGGGGGGTCTCGCCAGCGCCAGCCGCCAAGGCCTTGGCCAATGGCTTGCTCTTCACCTCCGCGTCGGGCACCGTGGATTACGGGGAGACGCTCTTTACGAGCTCAGGCGAGAGCCCCAGGGATCGAGGAGGGTAGGGAGTAGGACGGAGAAGTCTGGATGCCTGTCTAGGTCCCCCAACTAGATGCCAACTTTTACCGCTTCTTTTTTTTGGGAGGGTTCCTACTAAAATAGCCTACAGAAAAAAAGGCACTCTTATTCCAACCTCTCTACTGGAGGACCCAGTTGTGGTTGTCAAAACCGTTTTGGGATCCCATTTTGGGGTAGAGTAGGTGAATTCACCACCCATTGTAGAACCAGTTGTAGTGGTTGGATTTGGATGTTCACTGGGGTACGGGATTTTGACCCATGGCCGGATGACGCGGAGTGTTGCACTAGTGTTGTCTTGTTGAGGGGATGTGTTGCTTGCAAACTGAAAGGACGCCACCCATTTTGCATTTTGGGGGAGTCCCCCTATGGTGAGACAAACTCATTTGACACATAATGTGTAAATAAATTCCCTAAAATGGCAGCAACCAGACACTGATCCCTTTATATGGGGAGTCAAAAGGAAAAAACAACGTATTTTTGGTGTGGTGTCCCTTACCGCCATTTGTCAGGTATCCCTCAGTTGAGTTTGGATTGGTGGCTTGTTTTTTTTTGGGGGGGGCGTCCCGGTCCCGGGGACTGGACGTTTTGCTTGTGGAAGGACAAGGGTTTTAGGAATATGGCACAGTATATCGCAAGGGTTGGAATTGGAATGCCATTTGGTAGGGAACCCCCGATCCATTCCCTACTCACCCTTGCTCACTGAGCAGAGGCAAGTTTTGGGTACCTGTCCACTAAATTGGAGTCTGACCGAGGGGTTTTGGAAGACTAGGTTGCTTTAAAGGGACGCTTTTGGTGGGTTCCATGTTGGTGGACAGGAGGGTGCACCTTCCATGGCTGCGTCCTCCAGTAGTGCCCTTTTACCCTTTTTGCGGGAGGGTTTCCCCTATTAAAATCGACAACAGAAAAACGGGTACCCTTATTCCCACCTCTCTACTGGAGGACCTAGATGGGTTTGAGGGTCACTCAAAACAGCGCGACCCAACCCGCTGTAGGCGAGATCGTGGGCATCACCTGCGCCATGCTGGCCTCCTGGTACGTCTCCAGCGCAGCGCCTGGGCGAGAAAATTCGAGCTTTGTCTTAGGGGCCAGGTGGCCGCTTCCCTTTGGACCTAAAAACACATGGCTGTGGGTCAAAACCGTTTTGGGCTCCCATTTTGGTTGGTAGGTGCACCACCCATTTTAGGATGTTCACTGGGGGGACGGGCTTTTGACCCATGGCCACATCGAGATGTTTGACAAAAATGGTGCCACCCCACCCCCCATTTTGGGTAGTTTCCGTTTGGCTTCCCTTTTTAACAGAAACTGGAGCAATTACCATCAGCAAACGACACGTGCATGTACTGTGTGTCCCTTCAACTGAAGATGTTGAGGTGTTCACACACTTTGCTCGAGGGGATTGCATTCAAAACAAACATTTAGAGGTTTATGGCAATGTTCATAGGCTCCAACCTTCCTCCGTGCCCCTACCCCGGGGGGGGGTTAGGGGAGAGGACCTGGATCCTTTGGACGAATTCTATGCCCAGGAATCGAAAGTTGAAGGTTTCCTCGCATGCAAAGCCGGTCCCAGAATTGGGGGGCCAAAGCAGCACCCGGGTTCCTCTCGTTTTGATAGTTTTTGCCGCTGGTAGGTGCGCCGAATCAAGAAATGTAAATTCTACCAAAATGAGCTGTCCAACATCTCGGGTTTGCTGACGAACACATTTGTTTTTGCCAGCCGCTCCCTTAGGTCTTGCAGCCCTGGCTGTACCTTGTGAGTTGCTTGGCCTGCCTGGGCATTCTCGCGGTGCACTCGGCGGGGAGCAATGTGACGGTGCTGGGGCTGCTGGCCTTTCTGGCGCGCTGCGCCCCGGGTGCGTTTTTTTTTTTTTTTTCACACAAGGCATGGCATAGCTTCCTATAGCCTCTTTGGCTTTGGCCTGGCCAGCTTTTGGCTGATCTTGCCTCTGCCAAACTTGACTGCTTCACACAGCACACACTGCTTTTTGCCCGGTTTGATGCAGGTCAGAGTATGTGTGTGTGATGCACTCTGGCTACGAAGGGCCCGAGGAGGTGGCATAGGAAGTAACTCATGGTTTGTGTCCAAAAGTAGAGCCTTTAAGGGCCGCTTCTTGTAAAGAGAGCCAACTGTAAAAAGAAAAGAGATAATTATTATCCGATACCGCAGCCTTGAGCGACCGCTTTCTTGGCGATGTTGCCAACTTCCAACAGGGTCATTGTGTAACAGGTGTACGAAGCTGGGGTTGGACGGCCCCAATTTACTGGGAATCCACACCCTTGTTTGGCCATGATGAACTATGTTATGGTTATGCCGGCTGGTTCTCTTGACTGGCCAAGACATGTTTTCCAGGTTTTTTTGGCTATCCAGCGTTTTCAAGCATATGCTTTAATCGGGGAATACTCATGTATCCCCATGTAAGTGTATATATATATACATATATATATATATATATATATGCTATATCCACGAAAGGGTCCAACCAATTGAGCAACCCCCAAACCCCCTCAACCCATTCTAGGCTTTGGCGCTTCTGGAAAAGGACCTATACCCAAGTTGGTTCGCCTTTTCGGATTTTCGGGTTTCGGTCTTGGCGGGTCGGTTTCCGGGTGAATTCCCGAGGCGGCTCCATGGGTGGAGTGTCGGTCACCTGGGTGCTGACGCCGGCGGCCTTCCCCACGCACATCCGCTCCACGGCGCACTCGGTGCTCTACCTCGCCCCTCGGAAAGACCGAGAGACCGAGAGACCGAGAGACGGGGAGGCAGAGGGAGAGGCAGAGAGAGCAAAGGGGGGGGTGGTGTGTGTGTGACCCCTTTTGTTTGAAAGGGTGGAAAGGGAATCCGGGAAGCCCAGCATTTCAGGAAATCCCGATTTTGACGCAAACCCAGAGAGAGCGAGACAGACAGACAGACAGACAGAGAGAGACAGAGAGAGAGGGAGAGAGATCCGAGGACAGGTTGCCTGCCCGAAGTCCCCGAAGTCTCACATTTTGTGAGCGTGTGTGCGCGCGCGCGTTTTTTGAGGCTCGGTATCCATTTCACCCTGCTTCATTGTTGTTGCAAATTGGGTTTGGGGGCCACTTTCCGTGTTTTCAAGGGAATCCTTTTTAAAGTGATGCAGTGCTACGATCACAAGAAGGGTTGTTTTGCACAACCATGCTGTTTGTTTACGCGCATGTACGCTCAGGGCTTGGGAGCCCCAATCCACTGGGGTCTCATAAGCCCTTGCTTGCAAATTATCAGATGTATAGGGCTATGTACGGGCTATATACTTTGACAAAACATCATGCTTGCAGGGTATTCGGAGCGGTTTTGGATTTCCACTGAAGGAATGTTTGATTATGTGGCCTTGTGGGTACTTTGCATGCAGACATCGCCAGAAGACGCATAGCAACGTGTGTGAAGGTCATAAACTTGCATTCTAGCTGTTCTTTCATTTTTGTCCAGAATTATTTCCCCACGCCGCTTTCTTTGAAGTAACTGATGAAAACCCATTATGTTCCAGTTTATGGCTTTCCCTACACTAGGAGTTGACTTCAACAGTGGCAACGTGTGCTTTGAACTACGATCTCAAAGGGGTCCTTTTTCAAGTGTGTAACGCAGTTTCCCTTGATGAACCTAGACTCATCAGGTGTTCCAGTGGATTTGTGTTATGTAAGTATATCCGGATATTTTTGCGGGCACGGAATTTGCCACCAAGAAATTAAGTTGTGCGAATTTCCGCTGCGGGACTTCAACAGCGTCTTTTGGAGTTCCATGTGTGTGAGCGTGTGCCTTTTTGTTTGGAGGCTGATGCCAGCCCTTTAAAATGGCCGGGATTTGCCCAAGTCACCATTGTTGATCGCCGTTGGAGGTTGCCCTAGAGATGACGAATTCGTGAGTTTGGCCGGACATTTTCTTTTGCTGACCCCCATATTGTTTTGTTGTTTGCATGTTTCATCTGAACTAGCCGATTACCCTCCTCCCAGTAACATGGCACTTGTGGGGAGCTGGGAGGTACCTGGAAGATTAACATCCTCTTGAAGGGACCCCCTGTGAAAGAGAGAGGTATTTGGTTTTGTTTGCATGTGCCCAGCTCGTCATGGATTCCTTCCTGCCGTTGATATCTATTCAGACCCATTTGGGGTGCTTTCCTTTTGCAGCTACCCTTCTTTGGCAGGTTTCAAAGGGAAACCTACAGGGAGCCACCATTTGGTGGGTCGCCAAAAGCACGCACCCAAAACCCCCCCTGCCCGACCAACGAAACAAAACCATCCCCTTAGCTTTTTAGCTTTTTAGTGTTTGGTGGGGTTTCCCATGTCGCCCACTAAAAGTTCGTCACGTTTAGGGCGGATTTGAGGACAGCTCGCTTGCATTTGTTGAAGAATATGTTTTATTTCCCCCTGTTGGTTTTGAAAAGGAATCGACTTCACTACTGGACACATTTTTTCTCATTTTTTCCAGTTTGCTTGTGCCTGCTGTGAGGCTCAGAAAACGGACGGCTCAGCAAACCAAACACCGAGGCGGGCTCCGTGGGCGCGCTGCTGGCCACAGCCTGGCCGTCGAGCACCTCGCTGGTGGTGATGATGGCCGCCTACGCCGGGGCCAACCTGCGGCTCGGATGGCATCGGAGAGTCCGCACTTGAGTTCGCTGGGTGGCAAAAAGGGTAGGTTTTTTTTGGAGCTTTCTTTTTGTAAAGCTCACTCCACGAATTTCGGATTCTGGACTTGAGTCACTTTGTGGGGTTGGGCCCGGATTGCTCGGAGAGTCCGCCAAGCTGGGTTCGCTGGTTGGAAAGGATTGCGTTCTGCTGGCTGGTGCGAGAGATGCAGGGAATAAGACGTGGAATCCCCAGAAACCATCCATCTTGTGGTTTCCTTTAAGGGAATCCCGCCAAACTGGGTTCGCTGGGTGGAAAAAAGGTGGGGTTTTTGGAGCTTCTTTTGTTGAACTCACTCCCTCAGTTCAGAGTCTGGACTTGAGTCGTTTTGTGGGGTTGGGCCATTTTTAGTTGCAAACAACAAGTTCGAACTTTGTTTGGCCAGTCCACTCAGGAAATCAGCAAAAGGAGGGTGGTTTCACCGATAGAAAGCTCCACTTGTTTGGAGGGAAATTACCAGAAGGGCAGGTGGAGATACATCATATTAGAACCAACAAACATGTACAAAAAAAGGCTTGTTGAGGACAGCGGTCCCTACCAAGGTCAAAATATGTTTGGATTCATGTTGCAACGGTCATCAACCTATGGAAGTTTTCTTATGGCCAAGGATTTCTTCGGGGGAACCACGGCCATGACCTTCGGCGCAATAAGGTAGCAAAGCCCCTTGCCTTTCCTGCATCGCAGCAAGGTTTCCTGCTTGGTTTTCCCGCATCCCACGGGGCACCCTCGGAGAGAGAGAGAGAGAGAGAGAGAGAGAGAGAGAGAGAGAGAGAGAGAGAGAGGGAGAGAAACCATGTGTTGCTTGTAGATGTGAGGTGTTAGGCTCACTTTCAAGGGAGTTTCCTCCAGCCAAATTCGGGGATCTTCCAGTTTTTTTGGAGATGAGGAAGGCTGACAAAAGGACACTGAAAGCGGATATTATAATATATATATATATATAAATAATTGTAATACTGTGTTAGGATGTTTCCAGACCCCCTGATTAGCAGCCAGGAAGTCTATTCTTGTTCGTGCTTGTGAAAGCTCTTCAAAGCACCTTTCTTGGATTGAAGACCGACAAACAAGAACTGAGAACTTCAGGCTTCAGTCTCCAAACAATTGGGTTGGGTTATTCAATTCACCCATGATAGAGTTGTCCCAAGCTTTTGTTTTCTGAAAGCGGGTTAAAGCAATTGATTTCCTAATTTATTGGTTTTTCCACGCCTCTACATTGAAAGGCCGCCTCGACTTCCGCCTTAGGCCCTGGGGACTGGATTTTTAAGTAAAAAGCGGTCGGGTCCCGCGGCTCCTGTGAAAACGGCTTCCTCGGTGCCTTGGGGAGCTGCTTGCTGGGTAGAAAAACAGATGGCCTGGTTTACCTGGTGGTTGCATCATCTACCAGGGAAATCCATCTATTTCCCCCAAAAGGACGCCTATGACTCCCACGAGTTGATCGATTTTCCCAGCAAATTGGAAGCTTGGAAGCTTCGGGCCAGTTCTCGGCGACATCGAAGGAGTCAAACGTAGAGCGCCGCGTTTTCGGCCGAAGGCCAGGCATTTGCGTGACGCCGACCATTTGGAGGCACTCGCAACTCTCAGTTGTTCAGTGGCACCCGTTTTCCATTTGTTTCCCATTTTTTTTTGGGAGGCTGCCCCACTAAGAATGGTCTTCCCCAAGAAGGGTTCCCTTTTTTTTCCCAGGGTCACTGAACAACTGAGAACTCGTTCACCTCTTTCTTTCATCATTTTTCCGAAGGCAGATCCACTGGTCGGTTGCACGTCCTAGCATCAGTGGGTTTTTGGAGAGCTGAGGATTTGCACCGCCGTGGCGCAGTGGCAGATTCAGCGCCTGGCCGAGCGGCTTGGTTGACACTGACCCATTTGCCAGCGCCGGCTCGCTGGTTTACCAACATGGCCATGGGGCACAACCTATGGCTCCATTTTGAGGTGGATGAACATCCATTTGCCACCTATTTTGATGTTCACCAGGTGTACAGGGTTTTGACCCACAGCCATATGCTGCGAGCGGATTTTATGAATACGCTGGGTAACCAGACAGGGAGCCAGCAGATGGGGAAGAAAACCATTGAGACAGATTCGTTCGGTGCTAAACAGGGGCTCTGTAAAGTCCCGGAAAACCACCAAAAAATCCGTAGAATTCCGTAAATTCCGTAAAACCGTTTTGGTTTGGGACACTTGAAAGCTATGGGCTGAGCACACACGCCGAGCCTCGAAGACTCAAAGCCGATTCGGCAAAGGCGAACCAGCCCACCAGTTGATGTCCGGCCTCTTGATCTCTTGGTTCCTTACTGGCAACGGGATCTTCCCTGGCAAACCGGTGCCCAATGGATCTGGGATTCTGGTTCCAACTTGTGGGTGACATTGAGGAAACACATGATCCACTTTCATGGACACAGTGGTTTCCCCCAATGGAGGGGAACACTTGAATGTCACTTTCATGGCAGTGGTTTGCCCCGGGGGGATCACAAAACCGGAATAAATCTGAATACCCTCCAGTCCACCAACATGGAACCGACCAGAGGCTCCACTTTACAGGAAATTGGCCCTCAGTTCTTCCAGGACTCCTCAGTCAGGTTCCATGTTAATGGAAGTGGTGCCCTTTTTTCCTGTGTTGGGAAGGGTTTTTTTAACTCAACCAACCAACAAAGGATGCCATGGGCGCTGTGCTTCTGAGTGGCTCTCTTTTGCGGTACCCTTTCGCATCACTTTGCCGAAGGTGATCTTGCTTTGGAAGATATATCTCTGGGCAATGGGCAGCCTCGTAGCGGAAACCAGTCCAGAAACTCAGGGATAAACCACCAACATAAGCACCACAAAGCTAAAGAGTGTTTAGGGGCGGGGGAGAAAGATATTCTCCCCTAAAACAGAGTGTTAAGACAATCTTTAGGGGGCCAATAAAGACACCAAAACAATAGACCCCCTTAAAAAAAAAAAAAAAACACATGTTTCGGGGTGAAACAAATCGAAACAAACAGCTTTTTGTTTTTTCCCCATGTCTGCCGGCCTATTCGCCTCAGGCGTTCCTTCGACAGCCTCGTTTCAGACCTGCACGCCTCGGATGTGGAGCGCAGGGCGCGGTCCTCTTTGGGCCGCGAGAGCCGCGCCGCTCGGCACCTCTCTTTGAGGGGGGGTTTCCACAAGCGATCACCTGAGCCCCAATCAACCCCGCGTCGGTGAAGGTAAGTAGATAGTTCGGTGCGCGTTTCGTTTTTAAACGTGGCTTGGGGTTGACCACTTCAATACCATGCTTTGATTGTGACTTACTGTGTGATGGTCCGACCAATGCACGGGAACAAGCTCACCGATTCAGGGCAAAACTAGCTGACTATGATGTAGGTCCTTTACTTAGGATTGCAGATGGTACCTTTGATGTGCGGTGCTAATCCCATTCTGAGAAGGGTAATTCTAGACAGAGACCCCCCGGCACCACTGAGATGAATCAAAACCCGGTAGATGAAGCTTAACAAGTATATACATGGTTCTGGGTAGCCCAGTTTAATACTGGGTGTTGATTCTGACTCACATGAGGCTTTCTGATGCCCCCCTATGGGAGTCACCAAGTTGAAACCTCAAGAGACATCTCAGTGAAGTGGGAGACTTGGCTGCCGCTTGGTTGCCGGGGTCTCTGTTTGCTTTTGGTTAGTTTACATAATTTTTGGGGGGGTCAGGGGACAAGCCAACCACCAACACGTGTGTTCCAACCACCAGCATGTGTGTGTGTGTGTGTTCCTGCCTTTCCCCCGTGAGACGAGTGGATTTTCAGAATAAATCCTCAAAGCGGGGTACCGCAAGCACGATTTGTTTCCTTTTGGAATTATGCTACATCTCCTGACTAAATAGGGACCAGACACCTTTTGTTTCGGGGTTGAGGGCAAAAGCCTGGGTATGTATAGATTGATGCCTATAGATTGAATGCTCAGGGAAGACCCATTCAGTGAATTACCCACTCAAGGAACCTTGATTGTGAAAATTGGATAGAACACGGTGTCCTCAAGGAGGTTAATGAACATCTACAGTAGCTGACATGCTGGTGAGAGCCAAGGCTGGACCAAACTGTCACAAGACTCTAAGCCTCTCCTTAAGGGAAGCCAAACCTGCCCAAAGGCGAATCGACCTTTTGAGCTTTTGATTGCCTTCAGTTGGTCCCCTTAGAGTCATAGCCCCAAAAGGTGAACCTTTTATTTGTGGGCCCCTAAGGGGCAACTGAGAAAAGGTTTTGAACTGGGTTGACCAAAGGAACCAACCCAACTTTAAAGGGTTGGAGCTGAACCAGTTCAACTGAAAACGGGTTGACCACCTTCAAAGGGATGGTTGTCTGATCAAAGGTGTTGCACAGGGTTGGATTGCCCATCCCCGGAAAACCCCAGGCGAGCTACAGCACCTGGGCAGGGCCCAGCATGAGCCGGCCCAGCCTGCCGGAGCGGCAGTGAAACCCGTGCGAGTTTCGTAAGTGAGCGCCCTGAGCTTTGGGGGTCTCCAAAGACTCGTTTTGGTTTTTTGGGGTTGACCCAGTATGAAACATGAAAACGTAGTGTTCCTTGTTTACTCCAGTTTGGGCCAAGGACGGGTGTCCGATGTCCAAGACCTGAGTTGCTTCCGACTTGCTGGGATGTATACGTCTTCTAACTTGGGTGTGCAAGGGCTATACCCTTTCGGGGTTGCAAGCTATGTCCCTAGGGTTCAACCCGCATTAAAGGAATGTTCCCAATTCGTACGATGAAATTCCTGAAAATAGTGGTGGTTATATGAACCCCCTTGGTGTTGCTGGTGGTTACTGAACTGCAGGGATGCTTTATGTTACTATTATATTTGCCAGCTTAATACCAAAAAGGTCCTTCCAACACGTTCCCAGGCGGGCTAGGCCACACGGAAGTCGCACCTCTCGACAAGAGGCCTCAAAGCTCAGGCCGGTTCGGAACACGCGGGAGGCGCCGGGAAGAAACAAATATATGTGTGGCACGCTGGGGTGTGTCCTTTTGGGCGCTTGGCTTCAAGGGACACCAAAGGAAACCGACCACATTGTGAGGTTTCTAAATTTTGATGGAGATGAACCGTTTGGTTGGGGGGTCCTGCGGCAAATTGGGGTACAGGGCTGTCTAGGGACTATTAGGGACTTTCGGTTTCCCCGTGGGGATGTGGCATCACTCACTCGCGTGCCACGCCAACTGATCAGTTGGTTGATATCTCAAAGTGTCCTTTCGGAGTTTCCACAAGCCGTTCTCAAGGCGTGTTTGGCCTACTGCGTCTTGGGCGTCGCTCGCCCTGTCATCCCATCGTTCAGCTATGACCTTTCGGCTCCCACTCACATTCCAAGCCCATCCCTACCTGAGGACGAATGCTCTAGCGCCCTTTTGGTACACTTCAAAGGACAAAGCCGGACACCGCCGGAGCCTGCAAGCGGGTGTTCAGCAATATTCAGAACAAAGCCAGTCCCAGAGCAACATAGTTTGAATACTCAAGATGACAGTAAATGAAGATTCCTAAAGAACAATGGGTGTGTGTGTGTGTGTGTGTGTTGTGTGCGAGTTGAAAAGGAGTTTCCACTACATGTCCCCATGGGAAAGGCAGTTCGCGAAAGTGGGGGAGAACGCTTGCATACATGCTTGTCATTTGTGGGATCGTTTCGGAATGCGGGTGATGTGATCAAACTATCGCCTGGAAACGGGGGGGGGGGGGGCCGCGGGCGGGGGGCTCAACGTTTGAATAAAACTACACCAGAAAGAAAGATGGCACGATTCCCCTGTGAGATGACAAAAGCAAATGGGCGGGGATTGTGCCATCTACTTTCAACCAACTGGGGGCGCCCACCCCAGACAGGTAGGAGAAACACCGGCTGGTAGGTGGCGGGGAGGGGGAGGTTCCCTTGATTGAGCTGGGCCAGCTTGGGCAACAAAGGACATCGTCCGTCTTGTTTCTGTTGCTGCAGGACGATGTGCCTCTGAGAGTGCTCGCGGTACAGACCGGATGGAGCAAACTGTGGCAGGATGGTTGACTTTTCCTGAAATATCTATTGACATGTGTTTTTGGCAGTTTAAGGTTTAGTAAACTTGGACCAGAATCACACATCTTATCATAGTAATTGTGGTTGGGGTTGGATTGTATTGAAGGGATTGTCGTTGTGATTGGCAACGTATCATGTTTGGTATGCCATGTACCCATGCTCGTGCTTTCATGTAAGCGCAAACGCGCCATGTTGTTGCAAAGAGTGATTTCAAAAGTCGGTCTGTAGATGGTGTGTGTGTGTGTGTGTGTTTGTAGTCAAAACAGTAAACCATGTCAGTGTTTTCAGTAGAATACCTGTTCTGAGCAACACATGTGCGGGATGATAGCAGTATTGTATGCATGGATGGGCTTCTACGTGTGGGTGTGTCTTGTTTTGGGAAACCCCTTTTGATTGGTTGTATACCTGACCTTTCAAGGTGTTCCTGTTTTCTGCCTTTTCAAAGAAAATTGCTTTTTCGTGCAAGCGGCACATTTTTGTGCCTCGGAGCACTTTTGCATGTTACTGATATTTAAGCCAAACCTGGCTGTGAAAGGGCGACTTTGTCCGACCAAAAGGCGACTTTCCCCGACCAGGCTTGCCGCAGTACAAGCGCTTTTTCGACGAACCGGCGCAAATTTCTGCCTTTTCGCGAAAGCAGAAAAAAGGTGCAGCTGGAGGGTCCAGGTAAAAGAGGGATCCAAGAGGAAAGCCACATTTTGTTGGTTGTCATAATGTGAAGATAATCCCGGATCGAATTGGTTTCACAAAGAGGATTTCCTTGAAGGGAACTTCGGGGCAAATGAAACACCGCAGACTGTCCCTCTTTGGGCATGTGGTTGGTAGCTGATGTCGGATATATGTATCAGTCTATCAGATCATCGAAGGGGGCGTCAGCCTAGCTTCAGCAAAGTCCAGTCCGCGTTGTTCATACAGCTTACGGATTCATGAGAGGTTTTGGGGATTCAAATGCATGCCTGAGATGGAAAAAGGAGGCAGCTGGCTATGAATCAAAGGTGAACATGATCTATACTTCGATATCCTGGACGGATCTCGCTGGTTAAACACACAGTTGCCCTGTGCTGGGATTTGCGCACGCGTTTTCGACATTCTTGCTTGGAAACCTCGCGCGCGGCACTGCGTCTCAGCACCGGCGGACTGATGCCATTTCGCCTCAAGACCAGAAGACATATTTATTTTCAGGGAGTCGGCACACATGCCGACAAGGACGGCGCTGAAAGAGCAGCGGGCATGCTTGCGTGTTGCCCTTGGCATTGGTTATACGGAGGCAAGGAGGCGCAGATTGCTTTACAATATCCGTGGATCTTGATGCTTAGACAGGCCAATCATAACGAGCTTGCGGTTTGTGAATAATTACTTATTTGACCAGACGGAATGATGCTTGTTTGTTTGTTGGTCAAATTGTTTGTTTGTCCGTTTGCCTGTTGTTAGCTTGTTTGTTAGATAGTTTGTTTGTTTGTTTGCTTGCCTGTCTGTCTCTCTGTTTTTCTATCTATTTGTCTGTTTGTCTGTCTGTCTGTCGGTCCAGCCGTCCGTCGTTCTGTCTGTAAATGGGTTACCAGACGCTTCCCAAGTATCCGCTGCTTAGGTATCCGTTGCTCGTTTCCGGACACGCTTTGCTTGAACTGGATGAAGCTGATCGTAGGCTTGACACAAACTGCTCCCAGGGTGTTGTTCATGCCATGTCTCATATCCGCAGGATATATGTGGGCAACCTCGACAAAGAGGTTCCACCTGAGAAGGAGGCGGGGTAACGCGCTACAGGTTGACACCGAATTGTGCATTTAACGCAGCGCAAGTTTGCAAGCACCAAAGTTGCGAAGCCCCGCATGTTGCTGTTGTCTCTAAGATAAACCGCTTGTTCCTGATGGTTTTAGAGGCCTGCTGTTAGGCACCCGAATCTTTCCAAACGGGCTTAATCAGACCATTGCACCGGAGACTCCCGCGGATTCCCTGACGAAGCTTTGTTTTGCCGGGATTATGAGATAGTTTCTCGCTATCCCCCCCTCGCCCCCCCCCCCCCAAACCACTGCTCTCGAGGAGCTGTTGTTTCACACTTTGGCGGTACAAATTCTACTTGGTGGTGGTGTACCCTTCCTTTTTTCTTAGGGGTACTGGGTTGGAACCATCTTGGGAAGTCAGTATCGTTCATGCTTTCGCTTTTCGTGGTAATCGTGCCTGTTTCTAATTGGAACTGGGAAGAACTTACAGGAGCGAGTGATGTCAAGAAAAGGTCAGCAAGCTTACGTAAAACGGTAAGACTGGAATTCAGAAAGCAACTGGCGCAGCACCGTCAACACGTTAATTGCAGTTGCTGAGTTGTCGCTTGCTTGCTTGCTTGCTTCTGAGATTGAGTGGTTGAGTGTTTGAGTGTTTGAGGAGTGTTTGAGTGTTTGAGTGTTTGAGTTTGTTTGTTTGTTTGCTTGCTTGTTTGTTTGTTTGCTTGTTTGCTGGTTTGTTTGCTTGTTTGTCGTGTCTTTGTGAGTCTGTTAGTTTGCGCGATTGTCTGCTTGCTTGCTGGCTGGCTTGTTTGTCTTGTTTGTTTGTTTGGTTTGGTTTGGTTTGGTTTGTTTGTTTGCTTGCTTGCTTGCTTGCCTGTCTATTTGTTTGTCTATTTGGCTGTTTGCTTGCTTGCTTGCTGGTTGGACGCTTGGTTGGCCTAGTGTATGTTGTTCTGTCTTGTTTTTGTTTTTCCCCCTGAAGGTAAAGCGGAAGGGCAAACATGCAGACGAGCCCCTCAAGCACGGGTCCAGCCCCGACGAACCCTCATACTCGCCGAACTGAGCGCAACTTACTGTTGCTGCTTTCAAAATTCAGAAATCGCAGCACCGTGCAGAAAGCTTGGAATGAATTGGTTCCCCAACGTACATAAACAAGGTCACGGCGTTGCTAATGACCACGCTGCTTTTGACCATGGCGACCAAGCACGTTTACCAAAATTCCTGCGTTTTATGAACATTTCGTTGCATCGTTGACACGTACCATTGTTTATTTTGTTCCATTTTTACCATGGCTTTGACAAGAAAGGGCCAAATCGCCTGAGAATAGCAGCACTTCGCGCTGCTGGCCAACACACGCGCGTTTCTTGAGGCTGCCGGCCTCCTTTTTTTAAAGGCAAAGGATCTAAGATGGCCAGGCGAGATATCGTCTTCGTCGGCAGACATGGCAAGCCCGCCACACTGGCTTGAGGATGGTGCAGAAGTGAAGTTGATGACCAACAAACGTCGGGATAGAACAAAACAGGCAGCACGCAAAGCCGGGGTAAGCGGGGAGCGGGCGCGCGAGAGCGTCAGCCAGGCAGCGCGAAGACGCGGCAGTGCAGCAGGTAACCGACACCAGGACAAAGGGCTTCGAGCAGATATCGCACCAACAGATGCCGCAAAATGCGCGAAAGGACCAGACGAACTACCAGCGAAAACTTCAAAGTGAGCGTCCAACAAGAACGGATCACACGTCCAAAATGCCTGGAACCACGAGTCAACAATGGGGCAGGGTGCACACGCGACACGCAGCAGCAGAACGTACGCAACACAAAGAGCGAGAACAAAATGATGACCCATGGTCCTGGAGCCAAAGGTTGGGCCAGTGAATGCCTCAGGGGTGAAAGACGCATCTGCAGCAGTTGAGCGGGTGTGCTTATCATGCGCCCCCCCAACCCCCCCCCCAGAACCATGTTATTTTGTAATCCGGTAAAAAAAGAGCAGGCTGGTCTGCAGCAGTTGAGCGGGTGCTGATCATACCCCCCCACCCACCCCCCCTCCCCCCCGCCCACCCATCCCCCCCCGAACCATGATGCATGAACGCAGGGATGAACGTCCAAAAAACAAAGAACTCCACGGGGTCGTTGAGGACGCCGTGAGCATAAACAAGCAATGGCTTCCTATGGTTGCAAAGTTGTGCGAAATGGATTTCGTCCATCCACAGTATCAACTTATCAAAACTGCTGCAGTCAGAGGCGCGTTAGCTTGCACCAAATCTGCAACTGCCGTCCCGACAGTCAGCCCAAAAGTCCAAACAAGCTTCGATCTAGAATTTAGATGGCTGTGGGTCAAAACCAACGGTACCATTGTGGGGTAGGTGCATCAGCCATTTCTGTCTATTTTAGTGGGGATTGGGATGTTCTCTTGGGGGCTAACTGGGCTTTTGCCCCATGGCCACATGCCTGAAGCCAAGCTTTGAACATTGCCACTTTGCATAGCATTCCAGTGGCAAGTGACGGGGACCATTGGATCCCGACTGCGAAAAGTGGCACAATGGGGTTCAGCCCAGCGGACTGACCCCAAATGATCGCCATGTTACCACCAGTAATCATTTGCTTAAAGGCTTAAATGCTCTTGTTATTCCTGGTTTCAATGGGAATCGACTCGATTTCACTACCGAAACTATGCTTATTCTTTCCAGGGGGCTCAAGCAAATGGAAGCTTGGGTGTGAAAGGTGACTCTTTTCTTACAGTTCTTTGAGCACCTTGCAGTTCTTGTAGTTCTGTTTTGCATGGGAGTCTATTTTGTTGCGGCTTCTGCCAACGGCGGATTGTTCGATTCTGTCGAACCGGCGAGCTCACCGGTTGGAAGGGGTGAGCACGGAGCAACGAGCTCGTGATGTAGCTCCTTGACATGGGATCCAATTCTCGCTTCAGGTGTAGAATGTTCTTGCAGGATGTTGTATCGCATGAACATGTCTCGTGTTGTTCTTGCTTCTTTGTTGAAACAGCCTTTCCGCATTTGCGAAGCGCGTGCCCCAACAAAAAATGAGAGTGAAGAAGCAAGGGAATGTTCGACCGCAGGATCTCGCGCGGAAGTTCAAGAAGTACGGGGAGATTGTGGACTGCTGGGTGTCAAGGCAGCCGCCAGGCCGCTGGGCCGCTGGGCTGCCGGGAGTCGGCCGTGCAGGTCATTTGACCCCTGGAAGGTGGGAACTTGGAAACCATTCCCCGCCCTCGAGGTCGACAAGGATTGGGAAAGCCGGAGTTTTTTTTTGGGGGGGGTTCACAAATCAATTT